TGAAGTCTAGGGGTAAGTTCATAGCTTCTAACACAGTGGAAAGGAAATTCCAATCCACTAAGTCAAAAGCCTTCATCAGATCAACCTTCACCATACATCTGGGGGACATGTTTTTCCTACTATACTTCTGGACAATCTCATGAGCCAGCAGAATGTTTTCACCTATAATTCTCCCTTTAACAAAAGCAGTTTGGTTATCACTTATCAGATGAGGCAAACATTCACTAAGCCTAGGAGAAATCATCTTAGCTATACATTTATATAAAATGTTACAGCATGAGATAGGCCTGAAATTTTTCATTTCTTCTGGGTTCTTAGTCTTAGGTAAAAGTGCTAAGAGGGTAGAATTTACCTCCAAAGGGATTTCAGACACTAAGAAACAATATTGTATGGCAGCAGTGACTTCTTCTCCAACAATACTCCAAGCATGGTGAAAGAAACAGGCTGAATAGCCATCAGGCCCTGGGCTCTTCTCACCTTTAAATCCAAAAATAACCTTTTTTACCTCCTCTGCACTGACTGGTTTACACAGATCCATAGCCAGACTACTAGGGAGTGACTTTTGCAACAAACCTCTATAATACTCCACAGACTGAGCTTGCACGTTTGAGTCAGCTTTGCCCAATAAATTCTGATAAAACCTCTTGGCAACCTCACTCATACTACTGGTATCAACCACCCTTCCCCAGCTTCATTTATAAGTGACCTGATTGTGTTCCTCTGGTTTCTGATTTTAACTTATCGATGGAAATAAGGGGAGTTTGAATCCCCTTCTTTGAGCCATATTTCCCTAGACTTCTGTCTAAGAAAAGATTCTTCAGCATTCTTTACAGCTAACAACTCAACTTCCCTTTCTTTAACAAGAGTAAAAGTCTCAGTGGATGGAGTAACTAAGGCAGCAGCCTGTGCATTCAACAATGCATATTCCTGCAACTTAACTCTTTCACTTAAATCAGAATATGCTTCCCTATTCAAACCCCTGAGCAGATTCTTAAGGACTCTTAATTTTTTGCAAACTCTAGAGAGAGGAGAACCTTCCACCTCAGTACCCCAAGCCTCTTTAACCAGATCAAAAAATTTAGGATGAGAGGTCCAGCATTTAAAGAACTTAAAAGGCTTAGGGAGAGATTTGATCTTACTGTCAGTGTTCAATGTAAGAGGACAGTGATCAGACACTGAAGGATCCAGCAGGTCCACAACACTATCCTTCATCACTTCCAGCCATTTCAAATTAATGAATGCCTTATCAAGCCTCCTAGCAATAGGATTAGCCTGTTGTTTGTTAATCCATGTAAACCAAGGCCCAGAAGACTTGTGTTCCACTATTTCAGCCATACTCTGCCAATTTCTAAAATCCTCCATACTGCTATTAGGATCAGGATTGTTTGAGGCCTCCTCAGGACCATTGATAGCATTATAGTCCCCTAGAATTATCCAAGGAACCTGCTCAACCTTCAACTTAACCAAATCACTGTAAAGGTTTCTTCTATCCCCCTCCTCATTAGAAGCATAGACAAAGGTGATAAAGAAAGGAGTCCCTGAGCTGACCAGGGCATGAACAAACTGCTCTGAACTATCCAAAACCCTCAACTGCACATCCTGTTTCCAGAGAATCCATAATTTCCCCAAACCATTTGCATTGCAAGCAACCTTTTTCTCCCAACCTGGGAATCTTTTACTAATGAGTGCATCTGACTCAGCTACTTTGATTCTTGACTCTAGTATACCAACTATATCTATATTTAGTTTATTTACTAGCTGTTGAACAGCTTTATTTTTACCAGGGTCTTTGAACCCCCTGGTGTTCCAAGATAAGACCTTCATTTCTTCTTGCCCTTCCCCCCCTTCTTAGCAGGAGGAACAGGTAGTTTCTTCTTTGCAGAATTTCCAGTTACTGTGATCCATGGATTAACTTCATTTCTAGCAGGAGTTGCCTGAGAATCCAGCCTCCCCAACGGTGAACTAGATTGCACAGACACAGACTGAATGATAGCAGGACTCCCAGCTGAAATTGTTGATCCCTTTACCACTTCAGCAAAGCTCCCCACTAGACCCCCATTTGACTGAGGAACGAGACTTGAAGGACCTACAGCATTAATCCCTACACCAGCTGCTGCCAAACTCGTGCTAGGCTCCAGAGAAACAGGTTGAGGACTAACACCAGCATCAAAAATAACCATTGCATACCCTTGCTCCGCACCTTTTCCTTTATCATTAATATCCCCTACGTGAACAGTATCTGGCTGAGACACCACTTCAGTAACCCCAACATCACCCTTAACTCTTGGAGTCCACTTCTTACCACTCTTTGCTAACCAATCACAGTCATGCCCATAAATCGAACAACGATCACATATCAGAGGCTTGTTGAGATATTCTATCTCTATGCGAAAGGTGGATCATCATCAGGATAAAGACGAACTTTATCCGGAAAACCACAATCAGCTGCCAAATCGATACAAACCTTTGCAAAACCCAATTGCCCACCAACCCTAGTAGTCTGATCCATCTAGAGCGGTGCCCCAATCGTGCTTGCAATCCATTCATGCCCTTCAAAAGAATGATATTCCAACGGAATACCCCACAGCTTGACCCAAATCGATAGAGTTTCAACAACCGGAGTAACAGACTGAATCCCAGGAAACCATTTCCGAAAAAACACCGGATTACCTTGAAAGTGCCACAGACCAGATTTGAAAACCCACTTCCCCGTAGCTGCCGAAGGAAACTGGAACACCATCAGTCGAGGACCAAATTTGGAGACACGGACCACTCCATCCCTCCCCCACAAGCTGGTAGCCCACTGCTGGAGAGCAGCCGATTTTGGAACAGACCCAACAAATTGGGCAATGAGACAGTCCTTCCACCTCTCCTCCCCTCTTTTTTTGACTTCACGAGGAAGCCGAAAACCATCATTCATCTTCTGAGGAGGTCGATACGTCATCTTGTTTGCCGGATCCACCTCAAAGAGAGAAGCCCAGCTAGCCGGCCTGGCATCCGGCGCTGCGCCTGGCGGCGGCGACGCCGCCATCGCGAAGCGAAGATGCAGAGAAACGCGATTAAGGAGAGAGAGAAGAGAGAGAAGAGAGGCTTTATTTTTTACTATTGTTAATTATACTTTATTTTAATATTTTTTCAATAATTATTGGCATTATTTGTAAAATTGGTGGTACGATATGGATGAAGCATTTTTTTCAATTGGGTGTTGCTATTTTTTTCCATTAAAATCCACAAAATTCCCCCTACAACAAGCCGTATAAAAAAATATAATATCGGGTGGCTTGGTGCCAATCCTGCGAAAACAGATTCAAGGGCGGGCAAAACCAAATTATTTGGCGAGAATGTTAAAATTTTCCGCCAGAAATCCCTTATATTAGGTTTTGGGACTCACTGCGGCTGCCGCCTTTCACTTATTCTGTGAATCTCCTTCGTCCCTTCTTCTCTGAATCAGGTAAGTCTTTGCTCATTCACCACTCCATAGTTTTCAGTTTCTTTGCTTGTTCTCTGCATCTCTAATTCATGGGCTGTTCTCCATTTTTTTCTTCTTCCGCACATCTACCCTGCCAATGATTGTGCCGGATGATGGATTATTGTGCCATGATCAAATCTGGATCTTCTACTCACAGATAGTGACTCCGTCGCTAAGCCTCCTTCACCTAGTATGATTATTTCTCCCTCTATCTGTACGTATTTTGTTTTCTTGGTATGCTGTCTTGTGATGGAAGATGTCATGTTTTAGTGTTATCCCCTATTTTCAATTGGCGTTCCCTTGTCTTGTGTTTATTCCCCTGTTTCAATTGGCTTTCCCCTGTTTGTGTTGTGAGCTGGTGGAGATAGCGTTTTCGAAGAACCAGGTGGTGATCGTTCAAATATGTCTGTGGAACTAAAGGGATTTAAATTTGGTTTGATTATTTCACTCCCGTAACAAGTTACATCATGCTTTGGGTTTAGTGCATTGAGATTCAAATTGGTTTGGTAAATTCCAATCCATTAACAAGGCCCATATCATGGTGTAAAGATTTCAGTGGAATTATAAGAATATAAGGGCATTCAACTTCCCTGTTAATTAAGCAACCAACGAGGCTTGTAAAATGTTTAACTGCTAAATCATGTATGTGGTGCTACTTAATCCCATATACATCTACTTGTGTTCTGTTCGCAGTATATAATTCTAAGCATGGGACTTTATTCATTTTTTTTATAGGGATGGCTGGTGCAATGAGAAAAAGGGGCAAACTCAGACCAAGTCGTGCAATTCTGTATGCAGACACAGAAATTGATAACATATCACGTGTATCAGCAACCGAAGAGGATTCCAGGATCGGACAATCAAATAAACGCGCATCTAACGGTGAGGAACTCAACTCTTTGGATGTGGAAGGCGGTAGCAGGTCCTCTTCCCAAACCCAACCTAAAAAAAAACGTCAACGCATCAAGAGCTAATGAGACTAATTCATCTCAAGGTACTAAGTTATACAATTTTTCCATATATTACTAAATAATACATAATTATCTTTCAATAATAATCTTTGTTATGAATGTACCTATCTTGAAGGAACTGGAACTTCTAAAGGCCGTGTACGTAGTACTAGAGGAAAATATAAAGGCCTTAACATGGCGAAGAAAAGTAAGTCAATCAATGAAAAATTGTTGGTATATTTTCCTCCGAGTGAAGAAAATTATGAACCAGTGGGTCCCAATGGAAGGTGTTTGAGCATGTGGCTAGGGTATTGTGTCCGCTCTGTAACTGAGGCACCTCTGTATGGATGGAAGTATACTATAGTACCTCAATATAATACTCAACCGTGGAACATGGTCACCGTAAGTGCCTTCAAAATTAATTGACTCGACTATCATAATTACCATTTAGATTTCGTACTCGTATACTAATCTTTGTAATGATCTCCATTTATTTTCTAGGATTACTTTGACGTGAGTCCCGACATCCCTCCAAAGCTGAAAAAACTAGAGGAATTGCATAATACTCCTTCTTCGGAAACATTTGAAGTGAAGCAATTCAAGTTCAGGACACATTGCTTCCATGTGATGAAAGAGAGCTATAGAAAGTGGAAATCAAGACTTCGTACAGACTACAAGAAGTTTGACACGGATGAAGAACAAATGCAAAATATCCCTGAAGGTTTAACAACTGAAAATTGGGAGAAAATGCTACAAGTCTTTGCATCAAAGGAATTTGTGGTAAGATTGAGAATGTTGTGTCGAGCATTTTTTTTCTTTATTGGATGTTGGAATTGTTTATATTTTAATTTCTAGTTATATTGCATTATATACTATATATATTAGTGATCTAAATGCGTTACCTTTATTTTGTTTTTTATGATTTCTCTGTATTGGTTTTGAAACTAGATTATGTTACTGGAACTTGTTTGTTCATTTGTTTTTTATTAATCTGGAGCAAAATTTAAACAAAAAGAAGTTGATTTGTAAAGGCAATGCCAACGGATACTTTTCCTAGTTGGTACAATAGGATTGTTCTTGCATTAAACTCAATATTTTATGGATGTTTATATTTGTAAGCTTATGTGTATATAGGAATTGAGTGACAGGAATTCAAAGAATCGAGCAAATCAAACACTTGTTGCATGTACCGGACCAGTTACGTTTGCACAAGTGAACTATGATATGGTAGTACTTAATTTTTTTATATTTATTTGCAGTTTTTAAATAATTGATTTTGCTATCCTAGACTTGATTTATTACACTTGACTTGATAGATTGATGAGGAAACAGGTGAAGAACCATTAGCTTCTGAGGCTTGGATGGCTCAACATGCAACTATGAATGACAATAACGAGCCTCAATGGGTCAATAATGAATCATTCCTAGCTTATGTAAGTTTTTATTTGTTACATTGATGAGTAAATTAAGGGAATCATTACAATTGATGAAGGCTTGCTAATATTTGGTTTCCTCAATTTATAGCAACAAATAAGAAGAGTTGAAGAAAAAGTTGTACCAGTCAATCCAAATGTTAATGTGTTGAAAGAGGCTTTCAAGACTCGCTCTGGTCGTATTCCCGGTACAGGAACTGGCTGCAAGTCAAAGAGACAAGCATTAATCAATACACAAGCTGGAAAAGTGGTCCAACTCGAGGCACAATTGGCCGCGGTGACAACAAGATTAGAAGAACATGCTCAACGAAATCAAGAGCTGACAACTAGATTAGAAGATCAAGGAAGGCATAATCTATTGTTGAACCAGAGATTTGAGAAACTAATGGAAATGGTAGAAAGTCAACAACATATGCCATCATCATCAGATACTCAAGTAAGTTGCTAACCCACAACCTCTAATTAGACGTAGGAAAAACTTAAATGTTAATTGATATTCTTCACTTACGATTAGTGTATAAGTTAACTTTATACTTCCAGGTTTGGTTATATGTTAGTACTAGTTTTGCTAACAAATTTTAAAATTAGTCTGAAGAAACTCTAAGTCGGGAAGAGAGGGTTGAAGAAGAGTTTGAAAGGGAGCAATGTTATTTGAAGGTATGCTAGTTTTTTTTTTTTTTTTAATTCAAAGAATTTTTTAAGATTTTATGATGAGAATATTATTTTAAAAATAAATAATGTAGGTGATGAATCTGAATCGAAAGAGGATTTCACCAACAAAAAAGTCTTCTGCTCCAAAGAAGAAGAAGAAGTGATTTTTGGCTTGTGCAAGGTTTGTGTCAATCTTTATTTCTCGTCTCTTAGTGGACTATTATGTTGTTGGCTATATCTCTAATTAAAATTTTGAATATATGATTTCATTTTTTTTAGGAAGATGGGAGTGGGACAAGAAGCATCTTTATGGATCAAATTTGAGCTATGATGATTCAAGAGAAACAAATTTTTATTCATCAATATTGTTGGCCCTATGAATTTCAACGTAGTTATTTTTATATGAGTTTGAATAATTATGATACAATAAGTACGATTGTTTTAGCTACTTATACATTTGGGATGCTATTGATTTCATTAATATTTGGCTTATATATTCTTTATTTAATTTGATGCAAATGTGGATAATATATGGTATTAAAATTTATATAGAAAATGATTTGATGTCTCTAAAACAAGCACTTAGAGGACGACTCATTGTCTCTAATTGTAGTGTATATGGGATACCCATTGTCTCCACAAACGATTATTACAAGATGACTTGTTGTCTCCGAAAATCTACTTAAAGGACACTTATTTGTCTCGAAAAATAGTTCTTAAAGACGACTATCTGTCTCCAGAAATCGTATTAGGAGATGATTTGTTGTCTCAAGAAGTGGTACTCAAAGGACGACTCTTTGTCCCAAAAAGGAGATTTTAGGGCACGATTTATGGTCTTGAAAAACATTTCATAAGAGACGAATTGGTATATCTAATATAACTATATAAGGGATGATATGTTGTCTCCAAAGATGGTTCTTTGGGATCAACTTGTCGTCTCGAAAACATTGCATTAGGGACGATTAAAAGTCTTCAAAGATAGTTGTTAGCAAGGCTTAATGTCTCGAAAACACTTCTTAGGAGACGACTTGTTGTCTCAAAAAATGCTTCATAGGGAACTACTTATTATATCGTAATATAATTCGCAGGGGACGACTTCTTGTCTCCTGAAATATTGCATAGGAGACGACATGTTGTCCTAAATTCGTAGAAAAATGGCGGAAAATTAATTCAAATTTTTTATTTTTTGGAGACGACTATGTGTCCCTGATATTGGGGACGACTTTCATTTTTTGTTCCCAAAAGAATAGAGGACGGAACCTATATGCACCACTCGTGGAGACGAAAATTTTCGTCTCCAAAAGATTTGGAGACGAAAAACCCATGTTTTGGAGACGAAATTTTCCATCCCCTAAACCTATCAATTTTGTGTAATCAGAGAGTTTTTAGAGTTTTTGGAGGAGAGCAATCGAAAGAAATGACGAAGAAGGAATCGAGCGGAAGAGTTAGGGATTTTGACTAGTTAGTCAAACAGCCAGATCAAACCGATTGGAACCATTTGGTTAGACCTCCTAACTCGACCCGTTCGACGGACTGGGTTTCGATAGAATGGGCCTTGCCCTGATAAGCCCACGAATCAATTAATTTGATCCAGTGCTTTTACAGGCTCCAGCCCAGACCCGAACTCAGGTGTGAAGAGACAGAAGAGTCGTCTTCTTCCCCTGACCAGATTGCAGTCGAGACAGAGGACTGGAAAAACAGAGAGAGAGGTGAGAGAGAAGAACACAGAGCAGAAAGTAAAGTGCACAGCGATATTTTTTAACGAGGTTCGCCACTGGGCTACTCCTCGTCCCGGGATAGTACTTCACTATCCTGAGAGACACTTTGATTTTCTTTATTGACTCGAACAAAATCAAACTGAAAACAAAGTTACAGACTCGGTGAGAAAATCAAAATGCCAAGACACAAAGACCAGAATTCTCGCAGGAATTCTTTACACCCTTTGATCAAGCTGAACCTGTTCCTCAGCTTGATTCAAAGCCACTGATGCCCTAAACCCAATCCCTTAGCCCTTTACCACTGAGAGATCCCTGTTTGCTTCAGTGCCCATTCCTTCTTGGCTGCTTGCTTAAATATACCTCTTGAATAGCCGTTGGAATTTGAACTTTGGACTGTAAAGGTAAGTGGAGCAGATGGTGATCGAGATCCTTGATATGCTCCCCCTTAATTTGATCTGCTCCCCCTTAATTTGATTCTGGCAATCTTCTAACTTGCACTCAACATTTTGTAGTGCACCCAATATTAATGGTACTTTCTTGTAGTGAGGCTCAAAGGTATGCAAACATAAAAATACGCCTTTCAATTCTGAAGCAGCTAGAAGCATTTTACACATTGTGTTCCACTGAGCCTGGTCGTGGTGTCAGAGGTTTTGTCCGTTGGGAGTGTTGATGCTATTTGAGCACGAGAAATTCTCCTTGTAGTGCGAGGAACGAAGGAGAAGCAGAAGAGGAGAGAGGTGAATACGTAATTATCTAAAATTGTCACTTAAGTTTGATAGTTATGCAAAATTATAAAAAATGTTTTATTTTATCTACAATGGTAGTACAACAATTCCTATTTGGTACCTTTTGTTAAATCTTTGGACGGAAATTGTGACGGTACAACCAAATATCGATTTATATCATTTAGCTGCAACCATAATTCGACTTATGTAATTTAGTTGCTAAAAAAAAAAACTTAAGTGGTTACTATACAACATTTACTAAACTTGAGTGGTAACAGGTGCATTTAACCCTCAGCTGATCCCTACCCTCTCATCTTTTGTGTCATATGTCTCAGACCATTATTTTTATTCTTTGGTTTTTTTTACATATCCAATAATATTTATTTATTTTGATAAAATGATGTGATGCTCTTAAGTTTCATAGGGAGTTACAAAAAGATGAATTAATAGATATGTCATTTTAGGAAAGCAATAAAGTTTCCTCTCGCTCCGCAATTCTCGGGCGGCGATTTTCCTTACGCTTCGAGGCCCTAGGGTTTTTCCTCTGCCTCCATGCCGGCGGTGTCCTCGCCGCTGGCAGGGGGTGACTCTGATTGTCACATGACAACTGATACGATCGCGGGTCAACACCGTCCTCCTACGGCTTCCTCTTCCCCGAACCCTAAAGGCGATCGAGAGACTCAACAAACCAAAAAACGAGCTAAAGCGACTGTTCATGATTTTGAGGAAGGTCAGCGCGATGATGAAGTCCTGCATGACGGTGATCACAATGGCCCCAAAGTCCCTTCGCCTCACAGCCGGCCGGCCTGGGGAGATGGAGTGTCGACTGCTCGTCGCCTTTTCAGTGACGCGGTGCGAACCGATATCTGGTACGTAGCTGACTCCGACTCGGAGGATATTGCTGATTCCATACGGAGAGAGGGTCGAGACGACACCTTCATGGGTGAGGAAGACCCTAAGTGTCCGCCCATCCATTTCACGGCAGCAGAAGAAACTCTATTCCGACGCCAGTACCGGTCGGCCCTGGTGGTCAAAACCCTTGGGAAAACTGTCTCGTACACACTAATGTCAAGGCGATTACAAAGTATTTGGGCTAAGGCGGGTGGTATCCAGGTTACCTCTTCCAAGAATGGATATTTCCTAGTTCGATTTACAAGTGGCATAGACTATGAGCGAGCGATCACGGGAGGACCTTGGCTGGTGGGCGATAACTACTTGATAGTTCACCAGTGGACACCGGATTTTGACCCTTACGAGCATGAGATATCATCCACGCTCGTTTGGGCTCGGCTACTGGACATCCCCATCCACTACTTCCATCCGGTGGCCGTTATGAAGATTGGGAGCCGCATTGGGAAACCCGTTCAAGTGGATCAGGCTACGAGCACGGGAGCTAGAAGTGACTATGCTAGGGTTTGTGTTCAAGTAGACATTAAAAAACCCCTACTCTCCAAGTTCACGATTAATGGGAAGAAATACTTCATACAGTATGAAGGGCTTGAAAAAATTTGTCTCCAGTGCGGGACGTACTTTGACCGTGCCTGTTCCTACTGTACTGCCAACATGGAAACGGAGGAGCACAATACAGAACCGGAAATCGTCACTCCGAGGGACTCTCAACCTGGCCAAGACAAAGATGCTACCTATGGCGAGTGGATGATTGCGAAAAGGAAACCACGTGGCCGCCAGCAAACTGCGTCGAGAGGACCTGTGGGAGGAAATGATGCTCATCAACAAGGGAAAACGCAGGGGGGCTCACGGTATAGGGTGCTTGATGTGGAAGAAGCCCAGGGAACCCCTTCTGACCCGACCCAGACAACCCGTGGCCCTAGTGATACGACTGCTCATGAGAAGAGACACGGCAAGGAGCATACCCAGCAGCTGAAGAAAGACAAGTCTCTGGGGGAGCAACTAAAACGTGGGAAGCAGGGAGTGCCCGACCAAGCAAGACCGAATAAGACATTGGAAGAGGTCAACTCAAAGAAGGCAGATTACCCTCAACGGGAGGGCAGAGAACTAGTGCATGCTACTGCTCCTTTGACGTGCGACTTTGCCATGCATGTCCATGAACGTTGGGAAGAGACCACTGTCAAGGGGGTGAGTTTTAAAGAAGGTGAGGCAACTACTTCGGATCCGGTCAGTCACTCCCCCAGACCGCCAGATCCTTCCGGGGTTTCATTACAAGATCGAACTTCCCCCCATGTGAACAGTACGTCCGCACCGACTGTGATACCGCAGGAGAACCCCAGTGTTGGGGATGCTCCTTGCCTAGCTTAATGAATGCGAGAACCTGGGGCCTACCTTCCATGTTTGTTTAGATGATCGATACAAACATCTTTACGTGGAATTGTAGGGGAGCGGGGAGCAAGCGCTTCCTGCGTGTTTTCAAAGAGTACAAGAGGAAGTATAAACCGGGAATTACAATTATTGTTGAACCACGAATTAGTGGTGACCGAGCAGAGAAGGTTGTTCAAAGCATGGAGTATGACAGCAAAATTATAGTGGATGCGACAGGTTTCTCGAGTGGGATTTGGTTGTTGTGGGACTCTTCGCTAGCCACGATTACGTCGGTAGACCGAACTTCCCAGTTTATCCATGCCAAAGTTGTTATGGGTCATTCAACGTGGTTTTTCACTGCTGTGTACGCTAACCCCGCCCTAGTACAAAGACGCGAGCTTTGGCATGCTATTCGGGGGATAGCTGAGACGATGGAAGATCCCTGGTTGATAGCGGGAGATTTTAACTCTATCTTGCAACCGGGAGACAAGAGAGGAGGAGCTGCTTTCGACATTAGCCGTGCCCGAGAGTTTCAGGACTGTGTTTTGGATGCGGGGCTAGTGGATCTGGGGTTTACGGGGCCACCGTTCACCTGGTTTAAGACGGGGGTTATGGAACGGCTGGATAGGGGCCTTACAAATGCTATGTGGGCAACTGAGTTCCCGAATACCACCGTCCATCATCTATCTCGAATTAAGAGTGATCACCGACCGCTGCTTATCAGACTCAACCCGACCTATCAACCGGCGGGACCCAAACCCTTCAAGTTCCTTGCGGCTTGGTTAACACATGAGGGATTCTTCGACATGGCCAAGCAGGCATGGGATCGAGGTAT